TACCCGTCCCTTTCCCATCCCCGCATCCCGACCCATCCCGCTGCCATCCCTTGTCCTCTTCTGTCCTGCTGCCATCCCACCCCATCCCACTCCCTCCATCCCATCCCATCCTGCTCCCCTCCCTCCCTCCCATCCCATCCCATCCCATCCCATTCCTCTATCCTGCTCCCATCCCTCCCTGATCCCTCCATCCTACCCCATCCCTCTTGCATCCATCCTGCCTGGTACCATCCCACTCCTGTCTCATCTTGCTCTGATTCTATCCATCCCATTCTGTCCCATTTCACTCCTATCCCTCCATCCCATCACATTTTCTCCATCTCATCCATCCTTTCCCATCCACTCACATCCCTCCATCCCACCCCATCCTACTCCCATCCATCCTGTCCAGTCCCATCTTTCCATCCTATCCCTCTTCCCATCCCACTCTAACTCCATCCATCTTGTCCCACCCCGTTCCCACCATCCTGCTCCCTCCATCCCATTCCATCCATCCTGCTCCCTTCCTACTCCCATCCGTCCATCCTGTCCCATCCCACCCCCATCCCTCCTTCCCGTCCTCCTCCCTACATCCCGTCCCTCCCAGCCTCTCCCTCCCCTCATCTGTTCCCTCCCTCTGTCCATCTGTCCATCCCCCCCATCCATCCGTCCAGCTGCTATCCCTCCTTCCTCCCGTTCTCCATCTGTCCTCCCTCCCCTCCCGGTCCCCATGTCCCCCTGCCCGGGCTCCACGGCGAGGGGCAACCATGGAGAGCACCCAGTGCCACCACATCCCTTAGCATTGCCCTGGGTCCCCATGTCCCCCCTGCCTGGGTGCCACCATGAGGGGTAACCACGGAGAGCACCCAGTGCCGAGTGCCACCGCATCCCTTAGTGTCCCCCTTGGTCCCCATGTCCCCCCTGCCCGGGCTGCTTGGTGAGGGRCAACCATGGAGGGTCCCCGGTGCCACCGCATCCCTTAGCGTCCCCCTTGGTCCCCATGTCCTCCTGCCTGGGCTCCAAAGCTAGGGGTAACCACGGAGGGTCCCTGGTGCCACCGCATCCCTTAGTGTCCCCCTTGGTCCCCATGTCCCCCCTGCCCGGGCTCCTTGGTGAGGGGCAACCATGGAGGGTCCCCGGTGCCACCACATCCCTTAGTGTCCCCCTGGGTCCCCATGTCCCCCCTGCCTGGGTGCCACCATGAGGGGTATCCACGGAGAGCCGCCGGTGCCACCACATCCCTTAGCGTCCCCCTGGCTCCCGCAGACGGCGTCCACACGGCGACGGCGCAGTGCACGCTGCGCGTCACGGTCATCACGGACGAGATGCTGAGCAACAGCATCACGCTGCGCCTGGCCGACATGTCCCAGGAGCGCTTCCTCTCGCCGCTGCTCAGCCTCTTCCTCGAGGGGGTGGCGGCCGTGCTGGGGGCCCCCCGCCACCGCGTCGTCCTCTTCAACATCCAGGCGGACACGGACGTGGGCGCCGCGCGCATCCTCAACGTGAGCCTGTCRGCGCTGCGGCCGGCGGCGGCGCGCGGCGCCCGCTTCTTCTCCTCCGAGGAGCTGCAGGAGCGCCTCTACCTCAACCGCTCGCTGCTGGCCGCGCTCTCGGCGCAGCGCGTGCTGCCCTTCGACGACAACGTGTGCCTGCGCGAGCCCTGCGAGAACTACCTGCGCTGCGTCTCCGTGCTGCAGTTCGACAGCTCCGCGCCCTTCCTCGCCTCCGACACCATCCTCTTCCGGCCCATCCACCCTGTGACCGGCCTGCGCTGCCGCTGCCCGCCCGGCTTCACCGGCGACTACTGCGAGACCGAGATCGACCTGTGCTACTCGAGCCCCTGCGGCGCCCACGGGCGCTGCCGCAGCCGCGAGGGCGGCTACACCTGCGAGTGCCACGAGGGCTTCGCGGGTGAGCRCCCCGCGCGGCGGCGGCGCGGCCCTTCTTGCAGCTCCTGCCTGGCCCTCCACCCTCTGCCCACCCGTCCATCCTCTACCCCTCCGTCCATCCTCTGCCCACCTGTCCATCCACACCCATCCATCCATCCTCTACCCATCCTTTCATCCATCCTCTACC